CATTCTTTCTCATTGCCACGTAATACTCCATTGTGTATATAAACCACAATTTCTTTATCCATTCATCAGTTGATGGACATTTAGGCTCTTTCCGTAATTTGGCTATTGTTGAGAGTTGTAGTATCTTATTTTAATCCACCAAATCAGGAAGGTTGGATTGATTATTTATTTATTTATGTTTATTTATTTATTTAGAGAAAGCACAAGCAGGGGAGGGGCAGAGAGAGAGGGAAGCAGAATCCCAAGAAGGCTCTGAGCTGTCTGCACAAAGCCCCGATGCAGGGCTCGAATTCATGAATTGTGGGATCATGACTTGAACCGAAATCAAGAGTTGGATGCTTAACCAACTGAGCCACCCAGGCACCCCCGTAATCCTTACAGTTACTGTAAACAAATGACAGCAGGAAACCTTAGCTTTGTATGAGGTTTGTGAGTGGGATTTAGGGGTTTGTATACTCTCTCAAAATTGTAGGTAGATAGATATATATATGTGCATTTCTCTGGAAGGAAGTCCATAGTTTTCCATAGATTTCCAAAGAATTCTGTCGCCCCTTAGCAATGATACAACTTCAGTAACAACCACTGAAAGCTGTCTTTAAGCTATGATTCTCAATGTACTTTGGGTTATAAACCTGTTTTAAAATCTGATAAGAGCTATAAACTTCCAAATTTAAATACAATTTTAGAAGATCTTGGATCCTCCAGAGCCTGTCAGCCTGTCCTGAGATTTTTTGGGCTTCCTACATGGGATTCAAAGACGGCTACCTTTTTAAAAAAAAAAAAAAAAATTTTTTTTTAATGTTTCATTTATTCTTGAGAAAGAGAGAGAGCGTGTGCGTGCATGAGTTTTGGAGGAGCAGAGAAAGAAGGAGACACAAAATCTGAAGCAGGCTCCAGGCTCTGAGCTGTCAGCACGGAGCCCAATGCAGGACGCGAACTCACAAGCCGTGAGATAATGACCTGAACCGAAATTGGACACTTTACCGACTGAGCCCCCCAGGAACCCCTAAAGATGGCTACTATTAAGGAAACATATCCTGGGTCATGTTAGGGTTTATTCTCATTATTTTAGAGACTTATAGTTTCCTTTATACACACTCTTATTCTGTATCTTCAGCCTGTTTTTCTGTTTGTTTGTAACATTTCTGTATTTCAGATTTTTATCTTTAATGTATATCATCTTGGGAAGAACTATCCTGATATGTATCTTACTATCATCTCTTGCCCTTTAATATTCTGTTGGCACAATTTTAAAAGTGTTTCTGTTTTTACTTTCTTTGTTAGGAGGGGGGAAAGATCTGTAGTCTAATGTGTGTGTCAATGGTGTCCATGCCAAGTCCAGCACTGTATAGCAGCAGTTATTTTCTCAGTCTTAAACAAAATAGTGGCTAAATATATTAGGGGAGGGTTTTTCCAAATTATGAGTTTTCTACATAAAATCTTTCTGTTAAGAAAAATTACTGGCAGGCACCTGGGTAGCTCAGTTGTTTAAGCATCCCATTTTTGATTTCAGGTCAGGCAGTGATCTCAAGGTTAGTGGGATTGACAGCGCAGAGCCTGCTTGAGATTCTCTCTGTCTCTCTTTCTCTGCCTCTCTCTCACTACACACAAGCAAGTGTACTCTCTGTCTCTCAAAATAAACAAACATTAAAAAAAAAGTTACTACCATATAGTAAATCACATTTTTTTTTTTTTTAATTTTGAGAGAGTGTGTGTGCACATGTGCGAGTGGGGCAGAGGGGCAGAGAGAGAATCTTAAGCAGGCTCTATGCTCAGCACAGAGCCCAGCAGGGGACTTGATCCCACAACCCTGCGATCATGACTGGAGCTGAAATCGGGAGTTGGACACTGAACCGACTGAGCCAGTGGTGCCCCAAGAAAAGTTACTTCTAATTTTACTTTTCTTTTTTGGGAGTGGGCTAGGTTTTTCTTTAAGACACATCATTTCTTTAAATTTTTTTTTTTTATTTGAGTGTAGATGAAACACAGTGTTACATGACTGTCAGGTGATTTAGCATCTCTATACATTATGCTGTGTTCACCACAAGTGAAGATGCCATCTGTCCCCATACGGTGCTGTTAATTATTGACTCTGTTGTCTATGCTGTACCTTTCATTCTATGACTCATTCATCCCATAACTGTAGGCCCAGATCTCCCACTTCCCAACCCCATGTCCTCTTCTCTTCTGGCAACCATCAGTTTGTTCTCTGTATTCGTAGGTCTGATTCTGCTGTTTGTTTGTTTATTCATTTGCTTTTTAGATTCCACATGTAAGTTAAATCACATTCTCTAATGTATTTAACTTAGTGTAGCATCCTCTAGGTTCATTCCTGATGTCACAAATGGCAAGAGCTCATCCTTTTTATGCTGGGTAATATTCCATTGTATATACGTACCACATCTTCTCTATCTGTTCGTTTATCAGTGGACACCTGGATTGCTTCCATATCTTGGCTATTGTCAGTAATGATGCAGGAGTGCATATATCTTTTCTTTGGGTAAATACCTGGTAGTAGAATTATTGGATCATATGATATTTTTAGTTTTAGTTTTTTGAGGAACCTCCATACTGTTTTCTATAGTGGCTATACCAATTTATATTTCCACCAGCAGTATAGTAGGGTTCCTTTTCCTCCACCTCCTCGCTAACATGTTATTTCTTGTCTCTTACTTTAGCCATTCTAACAAGTGTAAAGTGATATCTTATTGTGGTTTTGATTTACATATCCCTGATGATTAATGATATTGAGTATCTTTTCATGTGTCTGTTGGCTATCTCTGTGTCTTCTTTGGAAAAATGTGTATTCAGTTCCTCTGCCCATTTTTTAATCAGATTGTTTGTGTGTTTTTTTTGTTTTTTTTTGTTTTTTTTTTTTTTGGTGTTTAGTTGTGTAAATTCTTTGCGTATTTTGGATATTAACCCTTCATCAGCTATATCATTTGCAAGTATCTTCTCCCATTGAGTCAGTGGCCTTTTTGTTTTGTTGATGGTTCTCTTTGATGTGCAAAAGCTTTTTATTTTAATGTAGTCAAAATAGTTTAATTTTTTATACACTTTTTAAAAGTTTATTTATTTTTGAGAGAGAGTGCATGTGTGAGCATGCATGTGAGTGGGGGAGGGGCAGAGAGAGAGAATCCCAAGCAGGCTCCGTGCTGTCAGTGTGGAGCCTGATGTGGGGCTTGAACTTAGGAACCAGGAGATCATGACCTGAGCCAAAATCAGGAGTCAGATGCTTAACTGACTGAGCCACCCAGGTGCCTCTCCGATTAGTTTATTTTATGAAAAAGCATCCCTTCTTGATAATTACTTCTCTTGCTCTTTAATACTTTACTCTTTGATGGTCTTTAGGATAACTTTTTTACTCTAGAAATATTTTGTTATTGGTACTTAAATTTTAAATATTAAATTATAATTACCATTTATTTTGTGTGTTTTGATATAACTAGATTTATCACTGCTAAATGCCATATATCAGATTTTTAGCTGCAATTCATGATAATCTGCCAGTTACATGAAGTTTGTCTTTTTTAAAAAAAACTCCTTTGGTTTTTTTTTTCTTCCCTCTCATAATATTCTCCCTTTGTAACACTCCCATTCTGTTTTGTTTCTGTCCCCCAAATGGTGATAGTTTCTTTACCTCTTAAAGCATGAAAAAGCTGTGTATTTGAGATTTAGAAAAAAGATACTTCATTTGTCTTTGAGGGCATAATTTTCTTTAAAGAAGAATAGTTTTATTTGACTTCAAGTTTCTTTTGAATAATTTTTTAAAGAAAATAATTTAAATATCAGATTGTATAAATACCAAAATCATGTAAATTTGACTTTCAGTGCAATGCGTGTTTTACTGTCTAAATTACCAAGACCATGGATTGTGGATGAGAAGAAAGATGATGGTTATACTGCCTTGCATCTGGCTGCCCTTAACAATCATGTAGAAGTGGCTGAACTGTTGGTACATCAGGTAGGAAAAGCTATGCAATAATTTTTAACAATTTGGACCATTACCATTTATGTACTTATTACTTCATCAGCTACCTCTTGGTAGGTTACAGTAAAACCCCATGATGATGCAAATTCAGATATGGTGCGTTTTCATTCTTCTGCCTAACATGGGTTCTTAAATGGAGGGAGGTGGTGTGTATATGTGTGTAAGGGTTGGGGGGGTTCCCTTAGCCCCTTGTATTCCCTCCCACAGTGTTCTGGATTAGTCCCGTGAAATAGGTATCAACGAACAGAGATTTCCCAGAATCACTACCACTGTTGTACAAGGACCAAGAACCATCATGTTGGTATCAAAGCTAGTGTGGCCAGTTGCCATCTAGTAACAAGACTGCAGCCAGGATCTGGCAGTTCAGTTCATGACTCCTGCTGGATTCCTGGAAACTGACTGGATAGCAGTACGGGTTCACTTCAGTCATTCCATTCATCTCTGAGATAAGATAATGCTACATTCTTATGGTATTGGATTTTTGGGGAACTTAGTTCGTGTAGTTTTATGATGTTTTAGGTTTTCCAGCAAAACTTTTAAATATCTCAGTCAAGCATATGTCATATAGAAGCGTTGAAGTTACCAAAGAATTACTTACGATCTCTGATTTCAAGGAGCTTACAGGCTACTGAAGAAGATGAAATAGCAGACAAATTTAGCGAATAGTTCATTGTGTATAATTAAGTACCACATCAGAAGATAGACACTGCATGAACTATAGAAGCTAAGATAAAGAAATAGTTGCCATTTTAAACCTTTATTCTTACTTTTTTGAAGTGTAGTTGGCACTCGGTGTTGCATCTGCTTCAGGTGTATGACGCTGTGGTTTGACAACTTGAATGCTACTTGTTGTGCTGTGCTTACCGCAAGCGTAGCTACCATCTGTCACCGTACGGTACTATTACAGAACCATTGACTAGTAAGCCTTGGTTATTAAATATTGAAGTTACTGCCCATAAAAGTATTGTTAATTGGGATAATTTCCTTTTCAATTCAAGATACAGATAACTGACCACTACACTGTCTTGGTAATTGTTGTTTTTTAGTAAGTCTTAAAATCAGTTAGTTAACCCTCCAACTTTGTTCTTCTTTCTTAGAATTACTGTAAGATCTTTTGAATTTCCATATAAATTTTAGAATTGGATTATTTCTATTAGAAAGTCATGGCAATTTGGTTCTGCACATTTTAGAATTATCTTTTTTTTTTTTTTAGATTTATCTTTAAGTAATTTTTCATGCTATTGTAAGTTGTTTAAAATTTCAGTCTCTAACTGTATATTGCAAATATACAGAAATACAAGTATTTTCTGTATGTGGACCATATATCCTGCAATTTAGCTTAAATTACTGTAGATCACGAGGGGATTAGAAATTGTGACCACAATGAAATACTGATCACCAATGAAAATGGCTAAAACTAAAAATGCCAACAAAACAAAATGTTGGTTTAGGATGTGGAACAGTTAGAATTCACATACATTGCTGGTGTTTTTCAAAGCAGCCACTTTGAAAACAATTTGGCAGTTCTTAATAAAGTTAAACATGTATTCACTATACAACCCAGCAATCCCCCTTTTAGGTATGTACCCAAGAGAACTCAGGACATATTTCCATGCAAATACTTGTACTAAACATTTGTAGCAGCTTTATTTGTAATAACCTCTAACTGGAACCAAGTCAGATGTTCATCAGCTAGTGTCTAGATAAATGAATTATGGTACATTCATACAACGAATATGGTTAATACTAGGAAAATCTAATGATGGAAAGTTTAGGAAACTTAAAAAGAAAATCCCTCACTTTCTGCATTTATATGAGAACAAGGCATGATAAGAAAACAAGCTAAGATCAAGTTCCTTGTAATTACACTCAGAGAAACATAACTAATAAAAACAAATCAGAAACTCCCATCTTCTAGAATGTCATAGTATTAGAAGAGTTTGAGCTCTACCCAAGCAAGGGCACAGGTGGGTTTCAGAGTTGTAATCAGAGGGCTAAACAGAATGATAAAGTTTATCTTTTGAATCTGTAGCCCTTTGCTTAGTTCCATTTTTAAAATTATTAGTATATAAGACATTGTGTTAGGCAATTTACATGTTATTTTTCTTAATCCTTACGGACGGAAAGAAAATTTTTCTTTCCCGTTTCTTTGGCCGGTCTAATAATTAAACTGACATGAGACATAACCACAGGAGAAAAACATGTTCAATATTGCATACATGGGAGCTCAGATATGAGACTCTCCTAAGTGACCAAAGCAGGCAGCCTTTGTACCTTTTACACAAACAGTTACTTGTGGAGAATTCACAAAGGGGTTTGGGCTTGGGGTAGCAAATAAATAAATGAAGTAACAAAGTTTATTTATATAGTCCATTCTTGGCCCTTAATTCCCTATCTCTGACAATAAGGATGCCTTCTACCCTCCAGGGTCAAGGAAGATAGCCTTCACATGGGGAATTTATTTCTTGCTTTCAGGAGACAAAGGAAGGTCTGAGTGTCCTTGTGCTAGCTGTTTAAGTAACTTTAATTCAAAATAATTAGTATGCCAAAGTGGCATTATTTAGGGGCAGCCCACCCTGAACCCCATAATCCCATTGACCCTGTGTAGTAGGTTGTACTGTCACCATGTTAGAAGCAAGGAAATGAGTGTGAGATGGTGGAATGCTTGCTTAAGTTCCTGAAGCTCTAGGTCCCCTGGTGCCAGTAAGTTCTGGACTTTTGCTCCTTTCCTCTGTCCTTGGCATCAGCTGTTCTCATATAGGCCTTTGACTACCCCAGGGCCCTGGTAGGGCTTTCTGCTTTCCCTTTAATAAGTATTTTTATATACTAATTAAACATTGTCTTCTCATCCTCAAGTGAAGTTCCTTTTCACTGAATAAGAGCTCAGTTATGCAGCAAGGGTACATGACCTTATTAGGTCATTAGTTTAAATCTAAATCCAATATGACGATTCATTAATAGAACGTTTTAGGAAATACTATTTACAGTTGAAAGGAGCTAATTGTCTCTATTGCTGTATAATGGAGCTTGAGAAGGAGCTGTGTTTGAGCTCTGTATTGAACTTTGTTATTTAACTGTTCCTGGATGGAGTCACTATAGTAAAAATAATTATTGTAAGCTTGCTTTTCTGCCTCTGAAAGATGCTGCCCCATCTGGTTCTTCCTGTATTACCAGCAACTGTTATGAGAACAGTGTTGCAGTAGCTAGAAGAGAGGAAAGTGGTCAGCAGTGTTTGTGTTATTTATTTCTCATGAAGAGTTATAGTTTTAGTGTTGCTTACGATTGTCAAATGTTGAGTATATAAACTTTGTTCTTCTTGTTCAGGGTAATGCGAACCTCGATATCCAGAATGTGAACCAGCAAACTGCCCTTCACCTTGCTGTTGAACGACAGCACACCCAGATTGTGAGGGTAAAGTATTTACTAACAAGAATCTTACAAGTGTGTTTTACCAGATAGATTTCTAGAAGGTCTTGAAAATGATACATAGATTTTTCAGAAGGCATAGTTAGATGAACAAATTATGAGTTTTGGCTAATACTGGGCAGAGAGTTTTAATTTATAATGGGGAAAATCTTAAAACTGATATTCAAAGTCTGTTATGTAATTTTGTTGCCAGACTATTTTGTTGCCAAAATATTAAATCAGAGAATTTCAAAGTAATATATAAATTAGTTTTTTAAAAAGTACATTCCTGGGGCTCCTGGATAGCTCAGTTGTTTGAGTGTCTGACTCTTGATTTTGGGTAGGGTCCTGATCCCAGGGTTGTATAATTGAGAGTGAACTATAATTAAAAACTTAGGGGGCGCCTGGGTGGCGCAGTCGGTTAAGCGTCCGACTTCAGCCAGGTCACGATCTCGCGATCAGGTCACGACTAGAGCCAATGGTTCAGGCTCCACAAGGTCAAATGATAAGCTCAGAGCCTGGGCTTGTTTCTGATTCTGTGTCTCCCTCTCTCTGCCTCCCGTTCATGCTCTGTCTTTCTCTGTCCCAAAAATAAATAAACGTTGAAAAAAAATTAAAAAAAAAAAAACTTAGGCTGGACGTTTGCCACAAATGTATACATATTTGACTAACCTGATATTCCAGACAAAATATTTGAAAGATTATCAGTTTAAAATTTTTTTGTAGAGCAGTGATTCTTAAAGCTTAGAAGCTGAGCCAGCAGCATCGGCATCACCTGGGACCTTGGTAGAAAATTCTTGGGCTCCTCAGACCGAGTAAATCAGAAACTGCAGGGGTGGGAACTAGCATTCTGTGCTTTAACAAGCCCACCAGGTAATTCTCACGCATGTTCAAATTTGAGAAACACTGTCAGAGAGTGACATCTCATGTAAACTTCTGGGGACAAATTAAAAAAAAACCCAAAAAACAAAACACCACCAAAAAATGGCCGTTTGCCAAGACAGGTAAGACCATATGCTTGAGATTGATTATGGTGTTTTTCTAAAACTCTGACAGCATTTGTAGAAAGAATTAGGAAAATCGTTAAAAAGTACCATAAGCAAAACCTTAACTTAAACAAAGTTATATTTGCTACTTAAAACATCTACTGAACTATATCAATTATGCATTTTATATCAGAGGTTGTAGTTTAGTGAACACTTCACATTTATTATGAAGACTACTTTAAAGATTACTTTAAAAAATAAAATCTGGAAGGAAGAAGGAAGGAGAAAGAAGGAGAAGGCAGAAAGGAAGAAAGGAGAAGGAAGGAAAGAAAAAGAAAAAAAGTCTTCAATTTCTCCCAGTTATCTTGATCTTGGAGTCTGTGAATTGGTTCTCATTTCTTTCTGTTTTCTCTGATTCGATATATTTGAGTAACCAGAGCTCATCACTATTTGTAAAGGAGAAACAGTAGTTTTGAGAGTAGCAAGTGAAAACATAAAAATAATTGGCTTTAGTGGCAAACGCCTTCAGGTAGGTCCAGGGCTCTGTCACTGTTACTTTAGATATGTTGTAATTTCTTGTGGGCCAGAGAGACCTTAGCAAATGAGATGTCTTTCTCTTTTAGCTTTTGGTCCGTGCAGGTGCCAAATTAGATATTCAGGATAAAGATGGGGATACTCCTTTGCATGAAGCTCTGAGGCACCATACCTTGTCTCAGCTACGTCAGCTCCAAGATATGCAGGATGTGGGGAAGGTTGATGCTGCATGGGAGCCATCCAAAAACACAGTGAGTAAATTAATCTTTAATTCAGTACTACTGGAAGAATCTTTTTTTTTTTTTTTTTTGGAAGTATCTTTTAATGCAAGATCTTAAATTTATGGCTAATTTAATCTGATGAAATATTTTTTCAGAACTGCATATGTAGAAATATAGTGTATGAACTAAGCAATAGTTATTTCTAACTACATTGCTTCAAATTCTTAGTGAAAGTTGAAAGTTGTTTGGTTGTTCTTTTTTAACTTTAGCCATTCATGTTGAGTGTGTAGTGCTATGCTGGGATTTTGATTTGCATTTCCCTAATGACCACTGCCTGATATTGAACATCTTTTCATTTGCTTGTACTTACATATATTTGATGAAGTGTCTGTTCCCATCTTTTGTGCATTCTTTTGTTGAGCTGTTTTGATACTATTGAGTTTTGAGAGTCTGAATTCAAGTTCCCTATCAGTTTATGGGATTTGCACATATTTCTTCCCGGTCTGTGACTTGTCTTTTCATTCTTTTTTTTTTTTTTTTTTTAATTTTTTTTTCAACGTTTATTTATTTTTGGGACAGAGAGAGACAGAGCATGAACGGGGGAGGGGCAGAGAGAGAGGGAGACACAGAATCGGAAACAGGCTCCAGGCTCCGAGCCATCAGCCCAGAGCCCGACGCGGGGCTCGAACTCACGGACCGCGAGATCGTGACCTGGCTGAAGTCGGACGCTTAACCGACTGCGCCACCCAGGCGCCCCAGTCTTTTCATTCTTTTAATAGTGTTTTTGCAAGAGCAGAAGTTCTTAATTTTGATGAGATCTAATTTATAAATTTTTCTGTCATTGTTTGTGCTTTTTGTGTAGTATCCTATCTGAAAAATCTTTGCCAAACCCAAGGACACTAAGGTTTTCTCCCCTTTTGTACTAGAAGTTTATAACGTTTCAGCTGTTACATTTAGCACTACCATTCATTTTGAGTTAATTTTTATATATAGTATTAGGTATGGATCAAGGTTCATTTTTTTTCCTTGTGGATGTTCCAGTTATTCCACCACCATTTGTTGAAAAGATTGTCTTTTTCTACTGAATTGCCTGCTGTGCGTTTGTCCCAAATCGATAAACCATATTATGTGAAGTCTTTCTAGATCCTGTATTCTGTTCTGTTGATCTGTGTCTTTAGGTATGTAATGCCAACCCTATTGTCTTAATTACTGTAGCTTTATAGTAAACATTCAACTCAGGTAGTATAAGTCTTCCCAACTTTTTTCTTCTTTTTCAAAGTTGTTTGACTTATTCTAAGTCTTTGACCATTCCATATAAACTTTAGAATCATTTTTTTTTTAATTTTTTTTTTCAACGTTTATTTATTTTTGGGACAGAGAGAGACAGAGCATGAACGGGGGAGGGGCAGAGAGAGAGGGAGACACAGAATCGGAAACAGGCTCCAGGCTCTGAGCCATCAGCCCAGAGCCTGACGCAGGGCTCTAACTCCCGGACCGCGAGATCGTGACCTGGCTGAAGTCGGACGCTTAACCGACTGTGCCACCCAGGCGCCCCAACTTTAGAATCATTTTTAAGACTGCAAAGGAAGTCTGAGACCAAAGTGTTGTAGAATTGCCACCTTTCTCTATGTCCATAGCTGAATTCTCTAACCTTTGTGTACCTCCTTTTTCTCATTGTAAAAAGGAGAGAGTGAAATAATTAACTCCATAATAGGGTTGTTACAAAGATTAAATGAGTTAATTCATGGAAAGTGCTAAAAATAGTACTTGGTCTGTTACAGATGCTCTACAGATGTTTGATAACATGTTTGAGTCAGTAGCTCAGATGAAATCAAAACCTGATTAATTGCCTTCTCCTTTTCTTGGCTGACTTCCTTGGTGTTGGTTCTTTTCTCTGTTGTCTCTCCTCTTACTATTTCATGTCAGTTGCTAACAGCTCCAGAGCTAAATTGAGTAGAAAGGAGAGTACTGTTGGAGCGCCTGGGTGGCTCAGTCGGTTAAGTGTCTGACTTTGGCTCAGGTCACCATCTCACGGTTTGTGAGTTCGAGCCCCACGTAGGGCTCTGTGCTGACAGCTCAGAGCCTGGAGCCTGCTTTGGATTTTGTCTCTGTCTCTCTGCCCCTCCCCTACTTGCTCTCTGCCTCTCTCTCAAATATAAAACATAAGAAAAAAATTAAAAAAAAAAAAAAAAAGAAATGAGAGTACTGTTTCCTCAGTATCTTAAATCAGAAGTCCTGGTCTTGAGTTTTATTGACCTTAATTGATCTGATTTGTCATCCCTGAACTAATCACCTAGATGAAGTGGATATCTGACTGGTCTCAGCCTTCTTTGGTCCACCTGTAAAACTAAAGAGTGGATCATTCCTCATACTATATTCCTGAGAAAACTGGAGTGAAGGGGAATGGATGTTAGGACTGCAGCTCATAAATGCCCACCATACTTGTGTAGGCTGTGAGTTCTTTCCAGACATTTTAATATAATTTTTATATAATATACACTCAGACGTGCACACACACATTTAGGGGTGAGAACTGATAACAGATTCTTAAGGGGAAAATAATGACTCTTTTCATTTGATTTCAGTTAATAATGGGACTTGGTACCCAGGGGGCGGAGAAGAAGAGTGCAGCATCTATTGCCTGTTTTTTGGCTGCCAATGGTGCTGACCTTAGCATTCGAAATAAGAAAGGTCAGTCGCCGCTTGATCTCTGTCCTGATCCAAGCCTCTGCAAAGCACTGGCAAAGTGTCATAAGGAAAAAGTCAGGTTTGTATCATTTCGTGTCATAAAACTTACTGTTCTTTGTAAAGCACCATGTGGTTTCATAATGGAGGACTTGATTACTTCAGACTGTCTTGGTCTTTGCTCATCTTCCTTGTGTTGATGCTTTCTTCCTTAAAAATTTTTCTCCAGACACTGTGTCTCTTACTTAGTATCCTATTCTCTGCATTACTAAATACGATGCTTTATGCATAATAAGTGCTAAGAAACTTTTCTAAATCAGCCTGATCTTCTAGTGCTCCTATACATTAGAGGAATTCATCTATAGGCAGAAGTACTAGTGAAATTGCTGTGATTAATGTTAGATGTATTCAAAATTGTAATAGACTTTTATTTTTTTAAATGTTTATTTATTTTGAGAGAGAGAGAGAGAGCAAGCAAGGGAGGGGCAGAGAGAGAGGGAGACAGAATCCCAAGCAGGCTTCATGCTGTCAGTGCAAAGCCCACTGTGGGGCTTGAACCCACAAACCATGAGATCATGACCTGAGTGGAAATCAAGAGTTGGACACTTACCTGACTCAGCCACCCAAGTGCCCTGAAATTTTTAATAGACTTAAAAAAAAATGTTTATGTATTCTGAGAGAGAGAGAGAGGGAGAGAGAGAGCACAAATGCGAATGGAGAAGGGGCAGAGATAGAGAGAGAGTGAGAGAATCCTAAGCAGGTTCTGCACTGTCAGTGGAGAGCCCGATGCAGGGCTTGATCTCAAAAACCATGAGATCATGACCTGAGCCGAAATCCAGAGTCAGACACTTAACCAGCTGAGCCACCCAGGTGCTCGGTAGACTTTTATAAGAGAGGCAGTGTACATGCTCACCAGTAGGGTGTATGTCACACAAAATCTGTAATAATTCTAGCACCTTGTACAGTGCCTGACAGACACTCACTCACTAAGTATCACTGAAGGATTGAAAGAATGAACACATGAAGGAACCGATTCCTGATGGGGTTTTCTCTAAAAATGATTTCACACTTGTCTTTTTTTTTCTAAAAGTAAAATATGTCAGTAATTTTAATTATTTATAACACAGTTGCTTTTCTTATTATGAAATATTGTAGACATATAAAGAGGTATGTATATTTTGTTCCTTTTTTTATCCCAACAATGCTGTGCAGCTATTACTGCCGTTTATACCTGGTTCTGGCCATTCAACATTTTGGTAGTTTTCCCTTAACTTTGTGTTCTCTTGCCTCTCTTTTAATTTGGGTGTGGAGATGAAATGACATCTCTTTGGAATCTATACATTGAGCTGTTAATGGAGAAATTCATATGAGGTATATACATTTCTTTAAGTGTGTCCTTGAGGAACATAAAATTCTATTATAGCAGGACAGAGCATATCTAAAAATATAGATATAAAGCGCTATAATTCCTGCAGTAGTAACTTTAATGCTGGGGTCTAAGATGGAACCAGTGTGTGTGTGTGTGTGTGTATGTATGTGTGTGTGTATGGATGTTGATGAGTTTCTGAAGATTATGGTAGAAACAGAGTATCCCTTTTGTATAGCTGTAGTTGGTCATATATATGTATTTCTGTGTATCCAATTATTTATAGATGTGTTCTGTCTTTCCATAGTAGAATTTTATGCCCCTTAAGGATACATTTAAAGAAATGTCAAAACAGCAGCTGCAGTGACGTATTTTCCACAGTGCTCTGTCAGTTGTGGACTCTAATGATGCTTCATTCTGTCTGTAGTTAGGATAACTAATGTGGGCTCTAGCTAGAATTTGTGTTTTATTCCTATGCCCTTCTCTGCTGGTTCTTTATAGGTAACAGATTCTGAGTGAAACTGTTTATGTTAAATTTTTTGTAACTAGTGTTTTTGGTTTCTTTGTTAGAAGAAGATTCACCCTTTTCCATTGGGTGAGCTATTTGTTCAATTTGAAATTTAAATAGTATCAGAAACCTGTAAAGATGCAGAGATGTATACAAATGGAAAAATATGGCATGCAGTGTTTCATATACAGATGTTAAAGCTTAATTTTTTAATATAACTAAAGCTGTTTTTATGTATACGAATGATGCTCTAGATGTTTTAAAAATATTTTAATGAAGTTGTAATATAAATATTCTGATAGGATTGATGAGAAGTATTTTCTTTTATTAGTGGTCAAGTGGGTTCTCGAAGTCCTTCCATGATTAGTAATGATTCTGAAACCTTAGAAGAGTGCATGGTGTGCTCAGATATGAAGAGAGATACTCTTTTTGGCCCATGTGGACATATTGCTACCTGTTCTTTGTGTTCTCCACGAGTCAAGAAATGCCTCATCTGTAAAGAACAAGTTCAGTCAAGGACAAAGGTAATATATTTTTAATACAGTATTTTATCATTTTATGAAGTTCTTTGAGATTATAAATTATGATAAATAAGATTATATGATGCCATATGTCTGTTAAACTTTGTTCTAAGAATGATTTAAATTTGAAGTGCCTGGGTGGCTCAGTAGGTTAAGTGTCTGACTTTGGCTCAGGTTATGATTTCACGGTTCGTGGGTTTGAGCGCTGCATCAGGCTCTGTGCTGACAGCTCAGAGTCTGGAAGCTGCTTTGGATTCTGTGTCTCCCTCTCTCTCTGCCCCTCCTCTGTTCATGCTCCTTCTGTGTCTCAAAAATAAACATTAAAAAAAAAAAAAAGGATGATTGAAATTTAAAAATGTATAATTTATATATTTATCAAGAAAACAATTTTGAGTTTCCTTCTTTGTATATAGAAACTATAGAAGTTAAAAATCAATCTATTTTGCTTTTATAACCTAAAGCTGTACTTAATCCCATTTTTCATTGTAGTTATTATATATTGCACCTTTTTTCAGTACACGGACTCTCTTGCATTCATCTTCATAAAACACCAGTTGTTTGTTTGTTGTTTGTTTGTTTTTTGTAGAATGTCACACATTCTGGATTTGATTGTTTTATCAGAGTGTTGTATAATTTGTTTCTTTATCCTCTGTGTTTCCTGTAAACTGGAAGTTAGATCTAACAGCTTGATTAGGGTCAGCTTAAACATTTTTGGCAAGAAATTCTCACAGATGGTGGTACTCACTTTGTATTGTGTCCCACCAAGAGGCAAATAAAGCCTGTCTGTCATCTTGCTGTTAGCAAGGGCCAAATTCTGTATCCACTCTGAACTTTTTATCTTGTCTGACTCTACTTTTTGAGAAGTATTACTCGTTTCTAGGTTTCTGGTTTCATTCTTTTTCTGTGTAACTTAGTACTCTATCATAACTATATTGTCTTACCTATTTTGGTTGTACTGAAATAATTGATTTTCCTTGTTAGTTTTTCCGTGTGTGTGTTAAAATGATTTTAAGTTTTTTACAAATGATTTCTCTTAAGGTGAGTATCTTAAACCAAAAGATCTCTTGGTTTTCTTTGGTTTAATTTATAAAGCTTATACTCTTTTTTTTGTTCTCTTTTTATTCTCTTCATTATTCCCTTGATGTTTCTTAAGCTGTTCATTAACCTTCATTAATTAGAAAGGAGCTGGCACTAATTCTTATAATGAATTAGCTGGCAATGACTTAAAAGGTATTACATTGCTGGTGCTTTGTACATTTTCATAGGGAGCCTTCTAAAACTAGATGTTTTCTGTGATCCAAATGAACAAATCTTTGGTAAAATTTTTGGCACAGGAAAATTACAAGGAAGTTATTTTTGGATAGAGGATTTTGGAGTAGTAGAGTGTGTATAGCTGCTTAGTCTCTTTGTAAAGGTGGGAAGGATGAACTAACAACACTTAACTGTTAAGTGCAGACAGTCTCGTAACTGCAGGTGCTGTGTTGGCATTTTATATGCATTCTATCTAGGTCATCCCTGCTTAATAGATTAATGCAGATCATTCTACTTGGTATTTATAATTTGCTTTAGTTACCTGCTCACTAAGCAACAGTTTGGGAAAGAATCTGAAAGGGTAAAAATTCAAGCCATTCTCTTATTTTTTAGATTGATCTATGCATTCTGTTGTTGGGCCTGAAACTCTTTGTGTTGGATTAAGCCTTACTTTAACAAATCTTTATTGAGCACATGTTTTGTAGTCAGGACAGAGATGAATATGATAATTAGCTGCTAAAAACTGGTAATGTGCTGGTAAACTTAGATTAAAATCTACTTTGCCATATAGGATGTTGTAGGTGCTTTGAGAGAGATGTAAAGTTCAGAGTTCAGAGCCCCAGGTTGCCAGAAGCGGAGTCCCAGATACTGAATAACCCTTACTGGTTGTCTAACTCTAGGATTCACAGTTGGAAAAATTGAAGCTCAAAGAAGTGTACTCAAAGAATCAAATGCAGGTCTCATGATTCTTAAGTCCCTGCTCTTTCCCCCGTGTGATGATACACAGACAAGAGTGTCTACAAAGGGAAAATTGATGGAGCAGGTAGAGAGGGAGGAATGTGCTGTCATACCTTTCTAGACCATTTCTGAATTCCAAGAATCAGTAGGCTTTCAGTTTGACTTTCAAGTTATAAAATTTTCAAACTTGCAGAAAAGTACAAAAAGTAACATATCCACCAAACAGATTTGCCAGGTTAGCGACAGAGCTTTGAATATAAAGAAATAGTGACCCCAAGTGGTTAAAGAGTAATGAACATCTTCATTAAACATCAAACAAATTATAAAACTAATATTTGGAGGAAGGGGGAGTAAATAAGCTTTATCTCCTTAGCAGTTAAGGAAATATAAATAAAAAATTATGAATTACCATTAATCATTCCTATCAAATTAGCATAAATAAAATTTTAAAAATGCTATCCTGGACAGTGGAAAATGCACACTCTTTTAAACACTGCTGGAGGCTGAATAAATGGGTTCATGTTTTTGAGAGACCATGCTGACAGTATTTGTGAACCTTTGCAATAAACATGCTTTGATTTAGTAATTTCATTCCTGGGAATGTAACCTGAGGAAAAAAATCCAAAGGGGGAAAAATGTTAAGGCTACAAAGATTTTTTTAACTAAACACTCCATACATAATATCTGGTTTAACCACCCTGTGAAGAAGGGTTTGTTCTTTATCATTTAGATTTAAAAAAAAAAAACTTTGGCCCAACAGTGTTAGGTAATTTGTTCTTATTGGGACTGGAATTTGAATCCAGAAATATAAAGGTCCCAACCAATCATATCTTACTGCTTTCTCCTGTTAATTCAACTATAGAAATTCTATGTACATAGCAAGGTACACATTGGGAAAGTCCATAGAGAGAGCACGTGCAAAATTTGGTTAGTTAGGTGAAATTATAGATGAGTGGTGGTCATCATTTTGGGGCAGTAATATTAATGTCACAAGATATGGGTAAATGTGAATGTGTGTCAGAAGGGGGGAGAACAAGTGAAAAATGCAAGGGCAGTGGGGTGGGATGGGGTTGAAAAAAACCAAGAGCCAAGGTTGAGAAATAGTTACACACTCAAAACTCAGATGAAGTGGAGATGAAGAGGAGATAAAATTAAGGAATATGAATAGATAGTGGAAGACTTGTGCCTTTAGAGATTATAGAGAAAGAACAGGCCAAAGCCATGGACTCCCACCAGCATGGGAGAACTGACTAGGTCCCAGAAAAGGATATGTTGGGTAGAGTTCCTTGGATGTGGATAAATAGAAAAATTCCCCTTGGGCCCTAGCAGTCTGCTAATCTGGCTGGTTTTTTATTAATATTAGAAATCTAGCTTATCTTAGATTTATTTTTATACTCCTTTATTTGTTCTTTTTATTTTTCTTTCAAAGTAATTTTTTTTTTTTTAACGTTTATTTATTTTTGAGACAGAGAGAGACAGAGCATGAACGGGGGAGGGTCACAGAGAGAGGGAGACACAGAAGCTGAAACAGGCTCCAGGCTCTGAGCTGTCAGCACAGAGCCCGACGCGGGGCTCGAACCCACGGACCGTGAGATCATGACCTGAGCCGAAGTCGGACGCTTAACCGACCGAGCCACCCAGGCGCCCCTCAAAGTAATTTTTGAATAAAAGAGAATTAAAGTCTATTCTGGTCTTTCTGACCACAGAGGAAATGGAGTTTTCTTTATCATTCTTTAGGATAGGTAGGAAGACTAACATGGAAATAGAACCTATGAAGGGCCAGAGTTTATAAAGGTGAAAAAATGAGCAACCCAGAGAGTCAGGGACAGAGAAGTAGAGTGTGTGAAGTTTCACTGTGCTAAGAGTGTTTCCTTATAGAGGAAATACACTTGGATACAAAAGAAACTGTTAGAGTTACAGGATTTATCTGTACATGTTCACACTTATGCTGTAACCTCTTTTTTTGTAGATTGAAGAATGTGTGGTATGCTCTGACAAGAAAGCAGCTGTTCTTTTTCAACCTTGTGGACACATGTGTGCTTGTGAGAGTAAGTAGCCTGTACAGAACTTCCTTGGTGTTTTCATAGAACTAGAAAATGAAACAAAGTATAGCTTTGAGGTTTTTTGTTTGTTTGTTTGTTTGTTTTTTGTTTTTTTGTTTTGTTTTGTTTGTTTTTTTTAATATATAACCCATGAGCAAGAACATTGGTCAGCCTTTCTAGTACCTTCCATCTCTTCCTCGGTACTATGTACAATGTCACCTATGTCCCTCCTTGCTCTGAGGTTAGAGAAGGCAGAACAGGCTATGTTCTACCAGCTCACATTTTGATTTCATTTGTATCAGCACAAAATGATCTCTTATCACACACAATAGAAATTTATTTCCAAAAGTGAATTTTGAAACATTTAGTCTAGGCCTTTTCACATATAAAATTAGCACATCTTCATTTGTCTTCACCTTAATATTGCCTCTCCTGCATACTTTTTTCCCCCACTACTGAATCACCCACAGCAACTATTTGGGGCTATACTGTCTGGCCTTCTTAACCTTTCTTAGTCGTTATGTTAAAAGAGCTGTTTTGGAGGATATATTGAAAGTTCATGATGTTTTAAAATATCTTTTAAACATACTATCTCAGAGTCCTTTCCTTTTTATATCGCCCTCTTGTTCTTTTCGAATTCATGCACTGTTCAACATTCTCCTCTTCCCTTTGCTGGTTTCATTTGTCAGTGAAGGATTTTAAACAAGTTTAACAACTTATACTTTACTTAAATGAGCTCAAAGTAAAGCATGGTGTTTCCTATTATAAAATAGTTTAGTCAATAGGTATTGATTTTCAGTGTAATATTTAAGTAATACACAGATTATATGATAGATTAATTTAATTGACATAGATTTGTTTTAAACCTTGGTCTGTCTGATAGGCAGCGAATTAACTAAATAAAGGATCAAGGTTTCCTCCTATAACATTCTGCCTCAAGTAATTGGTTTTGTTTTCCAAAGACTAGTATAATGGCTGTTATCAACTGTCAGAGGGCTTGTGGAAAGAGATTTCTGTCTTAAGTAAAAAGAGCTCAGGTTACTTAAGTTTTCATAGTCTAGGGGCTAGCAAACTTTTTCTGTAAAGGGTCAAATCATATTTTTGACTCTATAGGCCACATGGTTTCCGTAGTAAGTACTTAACTCTTTCCTATTGCTCAACTCTGCCATTGTAGTGCAAAAACAACCATAGACAGCAGGTAAATAAATAGGCGGGATTGTTCTTCCTTAAAATTTTGTTTATAAAAACAGGGACCTGGTTGGGTTTGGCCTGTAGGCTGTAGTTTACTGACCCATGTGATAGAACAAAGTGATACCTACAGAAGAGACTTGAAAGCTGGTTATAATGAGTAGTTGATAATACAGATTCTCAGGCCTTATTGTGGTGTTTTCCCCAGGAGTTTCCCAACGTTCTTACATTGTCTTTGTATTCAGATGTAACAAGTGTAACAGCTAACTTTTATAACAAGAGGAATCGCTAACTTTTATTAAGCTCTTGACTGGTACCAGACATTTTAATTTCTTTTAGAATACTTCCTCACTTATCTTCACAACAACCCTAAGAAGTAGATTGTTTTCTCCATTTTACAGACAAGTTGTTAAACATTTATTTGCTAGGGAAGATGAAATTGAGGTGGAAAATGCCCCTCTTTCAAGGAATGGTGAAGCAGTCCATATCCCAGTAATGTTAAACAGAGTATTGAAGCCTTGAAGAGTGTAAATGCCTTGACAGACCAGAGGAAGGAGAGATTGTATCCATTTTGGGGGGGGAGTAAGAAAGATTTTGTAGAAACAGTATAACAGTCTAACTTAAAAGAATTTCAAATAATTGTTACATATCAAATTGATTAATTAGTTTAATCCACTAAATTTAAGGAAAAAATGTGCTCTCAGATTGAAGACAAATCCCAAACCAGATTTCTATTAGCATTTGCTCCTACCTAGTGCATCGTGCATAGGCCAGCATCAGACCCAGCTCTGTCTGGGCCTTGACATGAGATTGGTCTTGATAATCCTTCTCTGTCCACCAGTGCAAGCACCATTAGGAGCGTACGCCCCATCTTGTCTACATAAGTTATCCCTGGATACCTGTCACAATTTTCCTAGGGTTTTTTTGTCCCCCCTGTTTTTGAGACGATAAAGACACTTGGTACATAGACTAAGATATAGAGTATACGTTCATAATACATGCTAATGAGGAAGGGTATATTGCAGGATGTTATTTTGTAATTAGTTAATAACTTTACATATAGAATTAACAATCCACAACCTGTAATTTTGCCTAGGTATTTCCTCTTGGGATGGGAGAGCATTCCTCTGATACATAACATTAGAAAGCCCATTATGATATATTTTTGATATTTTCATGGCTACTACATTAAACAAGTAGTTACTAAACAATTCCATAATAAATGACATCAATTTGATAGAGAAGGAAGAGAATTGTTCAACATATTTTAGGAATTTTAGAGACAAACTGTTTACAATAGAAAGTACATTTAGAAAATTATGTGAGCAACCTTATAATTCTATATTAGTTAAAACTTATAAAAAGTATCTTCCTTCTTTATTCTCAAGCCTTAAGATCTTGAAGTATTTTTTATTTAAAAAAAAAAAAGGGGGCCCTACTAAAAAGGAGAACTATAGACCAATTTCCCTGATGAACATGGATGCAAAAATCTTCAACAAGGTATTAGCCAACCGGATCCAACAATACATTAAAAAAATTATTCATCATGACCAAGTGGGATTTATACCTGGGATACAGGGCTGGTTCAATATCTGCAAAACAATTAACATGATTCATCACATCAATAAAAGAAAGGACAAGAACCATATGACTCTCTCAACAGATGCAGAGAAAGCATTTGACAAAATACAGAATCCTTTCTTGATAAAAACCCTCAAGAAAGTAGGGATAGAGGGATCATACTTAGAGATCATAAAAGCCATATATGAATTACCCAACGCTAATATCATCCTCAACTTGGAAAAACTGAGAGCTTTCCCCCTAAGGTCAGGAACAAGACAGGGATGCCCACTCTCGCCACTTTTGTTCAACATAGTATTGGAAGTCTTAGCCTCTGCAATCACACAACACAAAGAAAAGGCATCCAGATCAGCCAGGAGAAGGTCAAACTTTCACTCTTCACAGATGACATGATACTCTATATGGAAAACCCAAAAGATTCCACCAGAACACTGCTAGAACTGATTCATGAATTCAGCATAGTTGCAGGTTATAAAATCAATGCACAGAAATTGGTTGCATTCCCATACACCAAACAATGAAGCGACAGGAAGAGAAATCAAGGAATTGATCCCATTTACAGTTGCACCAAAAACCATAAGATACCTAGGAATAAATCTGACCAAAGAGGTGAAAAATCTATACACTGAAAACTATAGAAAGCTTACGAAAGAAATTGAAGAAGACACAAAAAAAATGCAAAAAGATTCCATGCTCTTGAATAGTAAGAACAAATATTGTTAAAATGTCGATACTACCCAAAGCAATCTACATATTCAGTGCAATCCTTATCAACATGACACCATCATTCTTCACAGAGCTAGAACAAATAATCCTAACATTTGTATGGAACCAGAAAAGACCCTGAATAGCCAAAGCAATCTTGAAAAAGAAAACCAAAGCAGGAGGCATCACAATCCCAGACTTCAATCTGTATTACAAAGCTATAATCACCAAGACAGTATGGTACTGACACAAGAAGAGACACTCAGATCAGTGGAACAGAATAGAGAACCCAGAAATGGACCCACAAACGTATGGCCAACTAATCTTTGACAAAGCAGGAAAGAATATCCAATGGAAAAAGACAGTCTCTTCAGCAACTGGTGCTGGGAAAACTGGACAGCAACATGCAGAAGCAACCTGGACAGCATCCTGGACCACTTTCTTACACCAAACACA